CGGGCTCCCCAGCCAGGCATGGACCTGCTCTCAGCTGCCCCTGTGCCAGGGCAGGGCTCTGGGTGCTGGGCAGGGCAGGCTGCCTTTGTGCAGCCCACACCACATTTCCTGTATTGTTCTCACACTGCTGTGAAGTACCTGTTTGAGAAGGCAGATTTCTTTCCTAAGAAATATATATATATACTCAGACCACCAGCTGAGGTTTTGTGCCTGCATTTCTTGTACTAACAGGGTGTACAACCAGCTCTTCTACAAACACAGCCCTTACAGGTCATTTTTATTTTGTCACCCTTCCTTTGCCCCAGTCCTGTTTTTCTGAACAAGTGAAGGCTTCCCTGCCCATAGTGATCAGTACATTGGTCCCTCCCAGGACCTGGTTGTAAATCCATCCCAGGCATGTTCATGGATCCCAGACAGCTATGATGGTTTCTGGGCATGGCTGTTCTTTGTGCTGGGATTTGTTTAGCATGATGAGGCCAGAAGACATGGATCAGGAACTTAGTGTTCAAAGTACTGTCAATCTCCAGTTCCTATAGCAATATCTCAATATTGAGATGGGCTAGTACTATTTAAAAAAATAATCTGTACAAAGTAACTGTACAATATGCACAGTTGGGATTTTCATGAAGCTTTCACTTCATTGCTGGACGTCGTCTGTGGAAGGCAGGCTGAGACAAAGGCTTGCTTGTTCTGAGTTTGCAAGAGGAGCCTGGTGCGGTGTGGGGATGGGAAGTAGACTGTGATGAGCAGGAGGACTTCAGGAAATGAAAACAAAAACAAAGCAGCAGTGTATGGTAAGAGGCACGAAGGAAAGAGCAGTGGTGCAGCTCCTGAAAGCAGAGTGAGGAGCTCTGCTGGCAGCTTGTGAGGAGCTTGTCACCTCTCTGTGACTGTGTCAGGGCACTGTGTCAGGGCGCTGGCACTCCTCCCACAGTGCAGGAATCCCTGCAAGGGCTCAAGGAAAGGTGTAGGTGTGGTGCTGAGGGTGTGGGTAAGTGGTGGCTTGGCTCTCCGCTGTTAGTGGCTGGACTCGATCTTGGTTGTCTTTTCCAGCCTTAATGATTCTCTGATTCCTGTGTCATTATCTTTCTGGTCCTCCTTAACACATTGGGTTGAATTCAGCAGGCTTGAGCAGAGCAGCAAGAGGCCAGATATCACTGTTTGAGATATTTGGTGGCTTGATTTTCCTTCTGTGTCACACAGGAGCAATACCCTGGGAGTCAGCAGGCTGGCACAAGCTTAAAAGCAGCGTAAGTCCTGTCTGTGTCTGTAACCCAGCTCCTGATTCCTTCCAGCTCCATGTGGGTACTTGGCCGTAGGAAAAGAACTAGTAGAACCAGCCAGTATAATAGTTAGTTACTGATTAAGAGTTGTGGAAACCTTCTGGCTTCAGTAATAGTTTTAAAAGTATCATTAGTTCCTGCTATTTCACTTTGTCCATAGCCATGTGAAATGGCTGAGTTTATTATTAAGGAGTCTCTAATACTGTTAGAAACTCCATTCTGTGCTAAGTCAGGAAGATGTATGTGACTGAAATCTTCAGTAGATCTGGTTTGGATCAGAGGAGGGAGGTTAACAGAGCCGTATCTTCACGGAGCAACTGAAAGTGAAGTAAAACAGTCCCTGTGTGGCTGCAGCAGCTCGTGATTTACAGGGCTGGATTCACGGGGCTGCTCCTGCCTCCGAGAACGCACGCTCTCCGCTGCTGTTGATTTTTGAATTAAAAAAATGCAGCTCTGTACACAGTTTACTTTCGTGCTAGAGGGCAGGGAAATATAGGTAAGAGCCGTTAATCCCCAGCAGGCTGCTGGGCAGGCGAACAGACACAGATGACAAAGTTTAATTGGAAACATGAGCAGTTTAACAGAAAACATATTTGTGATAATTGAGAGAGTAACATCTCCAAAAGGGAAACTCTGCAAAGAGGAACTGATTCAGAGGAGAAGTGGCCACTGGTAGGTGAGTGTGATTTTTCAAGCTCTCTTTAGGCTCAGAACTAATTTCTTAATAAGAACAAATTAGGAGGAACTAACTAAATAATAGATTTGTTTTCTCTGTGGGGGAGGGCTGTATAGTTACTGCCACAAGTTTCTCTTACAGCTGTACTAGGATATGTGATTGTACTTATTTTAGGTTCTTTACAAAAGGGTACAGTTGGTTTTATTTTTGTATGTGGAGTTTTCTTCTACCTTTGCATTGTGAAGATATTACCACCCCCACCCCTAATAACTGAAAGGACTTTAGTTTTACTTTTTTCCTTACTCCTGCATTTTTTTATGTTTGAGGTTTTTCTAAGAATCGAACTTGGACTGCGAGTATTTTGCCAAAAACAGAGGGAACCCTTAGTTACAAAATAGTGCTGTGTTTTTGCTAATGAAAACGTATTGTGGACTTAATAAGGGAGAGCACATTGCAGAACACATTTTGGTTTGAATTGGAAGAGATTCCTTTTCTTCCTTCTTTTTCTTGAAACAGCAAGTAAATGTAAATTATACAGTAGGAGCTCATTGCTGCTCTGCTGGGTAGGAAAAGAAAGCTGGCTTTTATTTTCTCTGAGTTTCACTGATACTGAAAATACCGACATGTCTTTTTAATGTTATCAGTGTGGAATTCTTGATGTTTAATTACAGAGAGAATATCACAGTAGCTCTAATACCAGGTACTACCGTGTTGATTTATTGGGTTGTTTTCTGTGGTTTTTTTCCCAGAGCCTGCAGACAGCGCGGCCTCCCAGCCCACAGGAATGAATGAAAATGTCTCATCCTCAGCTCAGAGCTGCGGCAGTGCTGTTCCTTGCAATAACTCCTCAGCCATCCCTCAGCCCAGCTCTGCTATTAAGCCTTGGCGCAGCAAGTCCCTCAGCGCCAAGCACACCGCGACGTCTTCCATGCTGTCCGTGAAGCAGCCGCCAGCGGAGCCTCCCAGGCCTCCCTCGGAGATCGCCAAGGCAGCTCCCAACGCTCAGAAATCCATGCTGGAAAAGCTGAAACTCTTCAACAGCAAGGGGGGCTCCAAGGCAGGAGCGTCCGGGACCGCGCCGGAGTGTCCGGGCTCTCGGGACAACAGCTGCGAGAGGCTGGAGGCGCTCCTGAGCTTTGAGGAGAGCGAAGAGATCGATGCCATCAGCCAGAATGTGAACAACCCGGCATCCCTGTCCAGCAGCCCCAAAATTGCACTCAAGGGAATCGCACAAAGGACTTTCAGCCGCGCGCTCACTAATAAGAAAAGTTCTCCAAAGGGTAATGAGAAGGAGAAAGAGAAACAAAAAGAGAAAGAAAAGGATAAAAGCAAGGACATTACAAAGAGAACATCCATCACCGAGAAGCTGGAGCTGAAGGAGGAACCTAAAGAAGAACAGACAGCACTAACAACAACAGCAGAGATGCCAAAAAAGTCCTCCAAGATCGCAAGCTTTATCCCTAAAGGAGGGAAACTGAACAGTGCCAAGAAGGAGGCCTCTGCCCCTTCGCACAGCGGAATACCAAAACCAGGAATGAAAAACACCACAGGGAAATCCTCAAGTGCCCCTGTTGCTGCCAAGGAAGGCGAGAGGAGCCGTGGCGGGAAGGCCAGCACGGGGCTGTCCCATCAGAAGTCCCAGCTGGATGGCCGCCACTCCAGCTCCTCGTCCAGCCTGGCCTCCTCCGAGGGCAAGGGCGCGGGGGGCCTGCAGGGCAGCGGCAGCAGCCAGGCCGCCAGCGGGCCCGCGGTGAGCACGCACACCACGGGCAGCAACACCGTCAGCGTGCAGCTACCTCAGCCCCAGGCGCAGTACAGCCACCCCAACACCGCCACCGTGGCGCCCTTCATGTACAGGTACGGCACCGCCGCCGCGGGACAGCGGGCACCGGCCTTCTGCCACGGGTGCTGGGATCCGCAGCCTCTGAGCCTCCGAGTGGGGAAAACAGTGCTTGTCTCACTGGCTGTGCCTGTGCTGTGCCACAGCAGAATGCAATATGCAGACTGTTCACCCACAGTGAGGGTGTTCTGTTCCCTTGGCCTGTCACGGCCAGGTATGTGTGTGTGTGGGTGGGCACTGTGGGTGACAGCCACGAGATTCTGGGCACTGTGAGCAGGTGAGGGCTTGGCAGATTCAGCTTAGGTGTAATGTAGTGCAATATAGTATTGTGTAGAGTATACAGATTATTTATAGTGTATATATAGAGTATTATAAAGTATTTATAATACTCTATATATACACTATAAATAATCTATATACTAATATAGATATTAGTATATAGATATATTAATATATACCTATATAATATATAAGTAATATATACCTATATTACCTATATAATATATAAGAAATATATATAAATTAATATATTATTCTATTATATTGAGTAATATAGTATGATAAAGTAATTAATTAGCCTGCAGTGCAGTTGTGTGCAGGGCTGAGTGCTTGGCAGATTCAGCTTAGATGTAATGTAGTGCAATATAGTATTATGTAGAGTATATAGATTATTTATAGTGTGTATATAGAGTATTATAAAGTATTTATAATACTATATTACTCTATTATATAGAGTAATGTACTATGATAACGTAATTAATTAGCCTGCAGTGCAGTTGTGTGCAGGGCTGAGTGCTTGGCAGATTCAGCTTAGATGTAATGTAGTATAGTATAGAATAATATAGTATGATAAAGTAATTAATTAGCCTTGTGATAAAGCAATTCATTAGCCTTCAGTGCAGTGCAGTTGTGTGCAGTGTTCAGTGCTTGGCAGATTCAGCTTAGATGTAATGTTATATAGTATAGAATAATATAGTATAATAAAGTAATTAATTAGCCTTCTGATAAAGCGATTAATTAGCCATCAGTGCGGTGCAGTGCAGGTGTGTGCCAAGTGAGTGCTTGGCAGATTCAGCTTAGATGTAAGGTAATAACGTGTAATATAGTATAGAATAAGATAGTATGATAAAGTAATTAATGAGCCTTCTGATAAGATGGAGCTCTCCTCATCATTCCTCCTTCGTGGGGGCCCACAGCACAGTGGCACAGGACACATCCCTGGGGGCTCAGCAGTGGGGTGCCCAGGAGGGGCATTCTGGACACTTCCAGGGGGGTGAAGCAGCAGGGCAAATGCTACAGGATGGAGATGTCTCTTGCTTCAAGAGTGCAGGCAATTCATGCATTTTCACAAAAACTGATAGCACCAGGCTTTGTCAACTTTGTTCATGTCTGAAGGATTATATAGATGTAATTGAACTTCATACAACTCAACTGTAGGATTAAGGATGGCAAACCAGACATATTTATATGAGAATAAATTATTTATTTTTAGAATGATTAGACTAATAGTTCTCAATCAGAATTATTTACTACACAGTTTGGGCAGCCATGATTACTAGTACAGTATAATTCACTACTTTTGAATCAATGTCAAAGGAATGATGTTGAAGTTGCATTAAAAGCAATTATTCGGTAGAGATTGGTGTTATTCACCCATACCAATGTGGGCACATCTCTTTTGCTCGCCCTGCAGGATGTCCCCATTTCAGAAGGGCTCTGCACACACTCCAAGGGTTTGTTAGAAGACCTTGTCATTAAAGAGTGGGATTGGGCTTTTCTAGTGCAAAATGACATCAGCTATGTATGTCTTGTCATTTTCTAGTACAAACTGACATCAGTCCTGTGTGTGTCCTGAGCTTTTCTAGTGCAAACTGACATCAGTCCTGTGTGTCCTGGCCTTTTTTAGTGCAAAATGACATCAGTCCTGTGTGTCCTGAGCTTTTCTAGTACAAACTGACATCAGTCCTGTGTGTGTCCTGGCCTTTTCTACTACAAACTGACATCAGCCATGTGTGTCCTGAGCTTTTCTAGTACAAAATGACATCATTCATGTGTGTCCTGGCCAGCTGTGCCATCTCCAGCTATCAGTGGTGTCATTGTTGGCTCCTTTCTCAGGTGCTTTACCAGGTCTGCCCCCTTTCCCCTCCCTGTGGGGAGGTTGAGCTCTGCCCTTGCTGGGTCAGGCTGGTTGCAGGGTTATTCCACACCGACAGCAGCAAAAGGCCCCTTCTCCCTGTGCCCCAGACAGCTCTGTAAATTGGGCATTGTTCCTGTTGGTTTGCCCCCTCTCCAGGCACAGCATCCTGCTGCAAGAGTCAGGTGAAATTAGGAGCATTGCAATAGGCATTCCCCACTGTGTCTTTACCTTTTTACAGCAGCACTTACCCTTGGGGCAGAACTTCCAGCTGCCTGTTGGTGTGGCTCTCTGAGCACAACACAGCACGACGTGGACAGTGAAATGAGTCACAATATCTTACTTAAATCTGGCAGGAAATCCTTACATCACCTTTCATTACCTGGCAGCCATAACATCAGACAATAAATTGGAGTTTGAAGTTGGTTTTGCCCAGTCATTTCTCTCAAAATGGAAGTGATGTTGAAGAGAACCTAGCAGGAATGTAACATGACATCACATCTTCCCTGCTATATCTTCATGCAATACAGACTTTATTGGAGAGGTTCAGATTAGCCACAACAACTGATGTTATTGATAATTAAGGTACATATGGAAATCCAAGTGTTTTAAGACCCTATCTGACGAGCTGTGAAGCCTATCTTCGACTATGAATTTTTTATTTTTTACAGCTGAGTGCTTGTTTCCATTTCTAGGACATAATTCAGCATGGGACTGATGAATTATGTAAAGCCAGTCTGCTGGTGTGTGTGAGGAGTGGGACAGAGTGCTGAGGGCAGGTGCGCTCGCTGTTCTCCTTGAGGCGCTCTGGATGGAGAGGGGCTGCACATCCCTGTTTGGTTTTGCTTTCCAGATCTCAGACAGGCCACGAAGGGAGCGTGACAGCCGAGGCCAGCACGGGAGGGGTCAGCATGGATTCTGCTCTTTATGTCAAAACTGCCCAGCCTGCCCTCGAGGACCTCTCAGGTGAGTCCTGCAGCATGACCATTACTGGCTGTGGTTTGGTTAGTCAAGAATGGGCTAGAGCAAGTTGATTTTATTCCTACTGCTTTTGTTCTTAATAACTCTGTTTCTGTCAGCTCTTCAGCAGTGAACTGGGTGTCAATAATTTGAACTCTGGAGGCTTAAGTTCAGCACAGGTGTGCTCCCCGAATTTCTTAAAATCACCAAGAATTCTTCCTGCTTAATGAGATGTGCAGCATTTATTAGGATTAAACTACTATAAGGATCCTAAGCATTCTCAAGCATTGTTTGATTTTAAAAACTTCATTTTGGAGCTTACAGAACAGACTGTGTTCATTTCCTTGATGTTTTGGTTTGGAGGAATCTTACTGTCACTCATATGAATCTGATCAATTTGAGAAACCCCCTTTGCAGCAACAGGACACCAAAATCCAACTACACTCCATTGTGTCCAGCATACAGAAGCTGAAGCTGGTTGTGGCTAGAATATGAGTAGTCTAGTTTAGAAAGTATCTGGTATATTTATCTAGAATTCCTGCTACTGTAAGTATATGCTTGTTAAAAAAATAAATTAAGCTTACCAATACAACAAAGTGATTTTCAGCAACTACATTTGGTTAGAATATACTAGATTCTACTAAGGTGATCTAAAATGTGTTTGTAAAGTCACAGTCTGATCTCCTCCTATCCCCATTTCAGCAATATCTATGACTTTTCTTACTGTGCCATTGCAGGATATCTCATCTGTAGAATTTCTCAGGTTTCTTTCCATCTGCTTAGTCTTGGTGTCCCCCAGTTTAATGTGGGGTTTGAAACCAAATGCCCTCCTTGGAAAAGTGGTGTGGCTAAAGGTTTCACAATGAGATCCATTTCATACTGCATTGTATATTCTGTCAATATACCTGTGTGCTGATGGCAGAGTCACTGGAGGGGAAAAGGGCTGCAGGAATGCCTAAGTGAACATATCTGTGTGTACAATTTGTACATAGGTGGATGAAGTACATAAAAGGCACAAGGGATGAAATCCTTGAGAGCATTTTTGGGTTCATATTTAAATATGAGAGTTGCAAGTAAGAAACACAATGTCCAGCTGCTTAAACTTCTTCAGCATTGCCTCTTAATCATCATATTGGCTGTTTTCAGCCTGCAAACTGAGAAGTGTTTCTAGATCACAAAAGGTATTCAGTCTTTAATAACAGATGTTTTGTAAGTACAAACTATTACTCAACTAGAATATGTAAGTTTTGGGATCCAGAGGCAGAAGACAGCTGAGAAACTCAAACAAGGGAGATGCAAACCCCAGCTGTGCACAGCCAGACCAGACAGCAGCGTCCATGGAGGGGCCTTGGGGGAAACAGAGCAAACTGGACAAATAGCCCCTCAGCCAAAATGAATTACAAGAAATACGGCACAAATATCTTCTCTCCCTGCATAGCTGTTGATTTAAAAGCACATATAAAACAACAGAGAGCATAAGTGGGGAAAAATGGAAGCAGAATTGTTAAAGGATGCTGCCTGCTCGTGAGGAGCTAAGTGATTTCAGAATTGAACTCTAGGGGCCAACTGTCCAATATCTGTCTCTAAAGTATACTTTCAGTTTAAGCAGTGGGATGTCATTTAAGTGAAAATTTGGTATCAATTTAGGCATAAGAGTGATCTCAGTAGAAATTGCTTTAGTTTGTCTCCTGTGTGTTTTCCTAAGAAGTTACCTACCATTTGCTTTCACATATGTGAGAGAAATGATCTGTAAAAGAGCACTGTGACATTTGTTAAGCTGAAGGCCTATAAATATTTTATGGTTTTTACTACAAAAATTTGTAGATCCACGAGTATAGAAAATGTTTTGTGTCCCAGAGACCCACTGGCTAAAGTGATCAGTCATGTTAGGTGGATGTTTTCAGTCCAGCCCGACCATAATTGTCTGAGCCTCTGCCTTAAGTGAGTTGTAACTCAAGGAGGTGATTTCCCAGAGTAGAGACTGACTAAAAGAAAAATGCTCACATGGGCACTAAGCACTTTGGTCACTGGTTTGTAGCACAGGCAAGAGTGAGTGGGTTTTTCTGTGCCACCAACATGACATCTTGTAGAAACATGAAATTTAGAGCAGAGAATGTAGAAAGTTCCAACATCACCTTTTTTTATCTGGTTCTTCACATTTCTGATGTGTGTAATATATAGATATCCATCTAAACTAGCAATTGTGTGGGTGCCCAGCATCCTAGCAGCTCAAAAATGCATCACGTGTACAGAGAAGGCTGGTACAAAATGTGAAAAGTTTTACATTTACTGTAGTATTTTCTTTAGTCATGGGTTGTAAACCCTTTAGAATGAAATAATTTCCTTCTGTGCCCAACAGAAGCTTTGTGACAGTTTTTTGGAGGTTCACTGTTCCACCTTTCAGCTTACAAAGAATAGGCTGGCACTACTAGAAATTCACTTCTCGTTAGCCTCCTAGAGGATTTAACTCCATAAAGCTCAGCTGAGGTAGCGACCAAAGCATTTCTGAATTGACAGCTGAGAGTACGTAAATAAATTATGCTGAAGCACTAATTAAATTATTAATTTGATAAAATGAAATTATGCTGAAACAGTAGGAAGACTTTATTTTTTGTGTACATAAACTCTACTTTTAAGGAGCAGGACATGAATGTGTTTAGAATTACTTAAAGAACAGGATTTCTAATGCTGTGAAAACTAAGTCATCCCCCAAGTTTGTGTCATGTAGAACATTTTAGGAACAGTAACTGTGATATGGTGACAGGCAAAACCTTTTGTTCTTTTACCTGAAACATCACTCAGCATGGAGTCAGCACTGTTTAGTTTGTGGAAAGCTGTTACTGTAGGACAAAGAAGATCTAGTGAAAACACAGCATTGGAGAAATTGTCTGTGTCAGGTTAATGTTAATTGCATCAATATATGAGATGGAAAGGGTGGTATTGATGGAGTGTGTGTTCCAATGAGGTTGAAAGTTAACCAGAATTTACCTGGGTCAGCAATATCTCAGAGGCAGCAATGAGGGTGACCCTGCAGGGCCCATTTGGTCAGGATGTGATGACGGCAGGTGCCTGCCAAGGGGAATGGAATCTCAATCAAGGCAGCTTAGAAGGTCAGAAGAAGGTGCAGTGGAGTGAGGCATGGAGAGCAGCTCAGTGCTGCTGCTGCCCGCTCCTCACTGCTGGCTGCCTTTGCTGCAGGGGAGGACCCAGAGACGCGGCGGCTGCGCACGGTGAAGAACATCGCTGACCTGCGGCAGAACCTGGAGGAAACCATGTCCAGCCTGCGGGGCACCCAGGTCACCCACAGGTAAGGACCCTCTGGGCTGCTCACACCATGGAAGCCGCTCTCTGCGGCTCCTGAAAGGCGCCTCTGCTCACGTGGGGTTGGGCTCCGTCTCAGGCAGCACTGACAGATCAGGAGCACACAGTCTCCAGCTGCCTCAGAGGAAATACAGGTTGGATATTAGGAACAAGTTTTTTACAGAAAGAGTGGTAAAGTACTGGAATGGTCTGCCCAGGGAGGTGGTGGAGTCGCCATCCCTGGGTGTGTTTAAAAACAGACTGGATGTGGCACTGGGCGCCAGGGTTTAATTGAGATGTTGGGGCTGGGTTGGACTTGATCTTGGAGGTCTCTTCCAGCCCAGTGATTCTGTGAATTCTGCTACTTTACATCTCTTACACCTGGGCTGCATCCTTAGAAAAATTATTAACACTGACAGTGGGAGATACTGATCTTGTAATTTCTGTCTTTAATGCACAGAATTTGAATAATGTTTGGTAGTTACTGAGATGTATGAAGAGAAATAGAAGTGATGGGATGGGGTGTGTAATGACTCAAAGGTCAAGAATAGTCACATCTTGTTAAATGTGTGAGGTGATGTTTGAATATAAGTTACAGTTTAAAATGTTTCTTTTTACTATTGAGTAACTTCAGTGCATTACACCTCTCTCCCCGTATGTGTAATATTTTGTTTAAATAAGAGGTGAACTGTGCTTGACCCATATTATCAAGTGCATAACTTAAATTCCTGACCAAACTTCAGGCAAACAAGTTCTTCTAATATTGTTAGTCATCTCCTGAATGTAACTGCTTTTTTTTTTTTTTAAAGCAGCATTTGGAAATCTTCAGCAATATTTAAAATATGCTGGAAATAAACAAAGATTGCTATTACATTTAAACATTATGTGAGTTAGATCTCTACAGTGTTGAACAGGAAGTTTTGGAGAATAAGTTTTTTTTTTTTTATGTTTGGCCCATAGTGAGGTCAGAGTCCTACCGAATGCTTGGTGCCTTATGTACCCCAGCCCTACATGAGTTTATTGGGGAAATGCTTTGTGTTTTGTCTTTGTGTCTGAAACTGAAGCAGAGCTTGCAAAGGTGAACTCCCAAAGCTGGTTTTATTTGCAAACTTCAAACCATGAGGCAAACCATGACATCTCACCGCAACATCTCCCCCTTGTTTTGTTTAAAGAAGAGGACTGGGACTGTGGCGCAGCATGCTTGCCAAACCACAGTTGGTAAATTGGTTCCTGCTTTTCAGGAGGGTCAGTGTTTTCCACTGAGGCTTCCATGTCACCCATTGGAGCGCTCAGGGCTTCCAAATGGTAGACTTCAGGAGGGGAAGATGAGCTTGAAGTTTGCTTGTAAACCATGCGCTTGATTAGCCCGAAAACAATGCTAACAACCACAAGAACAATAACTACAATAAAATTAGACCAAAATGTGAAGTCAGTCAACTAACTTTACATGGAGTTTAGAGTTATACGCTGAAGCAGTACAGGATTGGAAACATATAAATGCTGATGGATTTAATCCCCGTCTCTCCCTTCAAGCACCTTGGAGACCACGTTTGACACCAGCGTCACCACCGAGATCAGCGGCCGCAGCATCCTCAGCCTGACGGGGCGGCCGACGCCGCTGTCGTGGCGGCTGGGCCAGTCCAGCCCGCGGCTGCAGGCGGGCGACGCGCCGTCCGCAGGCAGCGCCTACGTGTCCCCCGCGGGCAGCGGCGCCTTCCCGCCGCGGGGCAGCGCCGGCCGCTTGGGCAGCGCCGAGCCGGGCGCCGCGCGCTACCTGTACCCCGCGCCGCTGCGGCGGCAGCTGGCCACGCGCGGCAGCGGCCTCTGCCACGTGGACATCGCCGACAAGGCCGCCGACGACATGGACCTCGAGGGGCTCGCCATGGACGCCGCCGGCTACATGAGCGACGGCGACGTGCTGGGCAAGAACATCCGCGCCGACGACATCACCAGCGGGTGAGTGCGCGCTTCCCGCGGCTCTTTGGCACTGCCGTGGGCTCTGAAAAACCCTTCACCGGGGTTTCTGCTCCCGGGAAGGTGAGACACCTTAGGGAAAATAGTAGCTCATAATATAGAATGTTATATCGTTTGCTTAACATTATATAATACTAATATTTGCTTAATATTTTATAATAATATTATCTCATTTGCATCTCCTGGGATGATGAGAAGCCTTAGAGAAAATATTATCTCATTTGCATCTCCTGGGATGATGAGAAGCCTTAGAGAAAATATTACCTCATAATATATATTATCTCATTTGCTTAATATTATATAATAATATCTACAATATCAATAGATATATAATAGATATATCTATATGAATTATATAATATTGTATATAAATTTTTATTAATATTATATAATAATAGTATGTATTATATCAATAGATATACAATAGATATTTCCATATCTATTATATTATAATAGTATCTCATTTGGTTAATATGACATAATAATATTATCTCATTTGCTTCTCCCAGAAAGATGAGAAGCCTTAGAGAAAATATCTCAAAATATGTAATATCTCATTTGGTTAATATTATATAATAACATTATCTCTTATAGCTATATATATATAATACATATATCTATATGTATTATATAATCATATTATCTAAAAAATTTGCTTAATATTATATAATAATAGTCTCATTTGCTTCTCCCAGGAAGATGAGAAGCCTCAGAGAAAATATGATCTCATTTGGTTAATATTATATAATATTAAATTTGCTTAATATTATATACTAATATTTTCTCATTTGCTTCTCCTGTGTTTGCTGCTTTGGAATGTGGTTGGAGATGGTTTATCCAACAGGTGCATCTTTGATTGGTTCCATGTGAATTGTTTTTACTCAATGACCAATCACCATCAGCTGTGTTGGACTCTGAGGAGTCAGTCATGAGTTTTTATTATCATTTTTGTTACCCCTTCTGTCTGTATCCTTCTCTCTTTCTCTAGTATAGTTTTAGTATAGCATTCTTTAATATAAGTACTTAAAATAATTAATCAGCCTTCTGAGAACATGGAGTCATATTCTCGTCTCTCACCTCATCCTGGGGAGCCCAGCAAAAACCCATCAACTCTTCTGTTCTGTTTATTGCTCTGTATTTCCATGATTATTTCGAGAAATAAAAGCCAGCACCAAAGCTATTCTACTGATCTTAATAGGCCTTTGGCGAGACAGCCGGTTATCACAGAGGGATTTGAACAAAATTCAGGTTTTTAGGCCCCTGTTAAGCAAGTATCCCTGGATGTGAAGCTGTTGCGATGGAGCGGTTTCCAGTCAGGCCTCGCAGGGTGCAGCGCTGACCCGCGCCAGGAGGTGGCGGCAGTGAGGCGCGTTTGTGCTCAGTGGGCTGCCGTGCTGCCGCGGCTCTGCCGGACCAGGAGCTGGAGGGGAATGGGCTGGCATCTCCGTGCTGGGTAAAACAGCAGTGGGAGCGAGAAAACGTTTACAGAACAAGTAGTGTGCAGAAATATGAAGCGATAGACAGTTATTAACAAGGTTTTACATCAGCATTTTATCTCTGTCTTGAGTGGAAAAAGCATTTGTTCTTTGCTCCAATGTCAGTTTTCAATTCGTCTACTTTCAGTTCCTACTATAAAATTTTTTCTTAGCTCAAGTACATTAGCATTGGATTGATGTTAAAAAATTATCTTTGAAATTTAAGCGATTTGGTGTTTTATTTGTTTTTTCTTGTTTGATTTGGTGGGGGGTTTTTTTTGTTTGTTTCTTTGTTTCTCTTTGGGTTTGTTTTTGTTTTGTTTTTTTGTTTGTTTGCTGGTTTGTTTAGGGTTTTTTTGTGGCAGTCCTGACTGACCATTTTGCATCTTTTGCTTTTTTGTAATTTTTTTTATTAGTGACATTTCTAGTGCTGTTTGCTTTTTTAAAAGACATAATGTCTCTTACAGGAATCCAGCTGCTGCTTTGTCATTAACTGAAAAGTTCAGTTCCACCATCTGGAACCCTCTATTAATTCTGCCCATTATGAATATTTGGATATTTTCACACTTTTTGAGAAGTCAGACACCTTCTTTATATGCTTCATTAGGGAAACATGTAGTAAAGTAGCTGATGCAAAAATCAGTGTGAAATTCTGTTTCAGATAAAACACCAGTAGCTGTTGCTGCATTAATAATGCATCAAATCTCTAAAGCACCTTGTGATTTCCTCACGTACATCAACTTTCACCTGGGTTTTGTAATGTTTTCTGTAGGAACAGTTGCTGCTTTTCCTCTGGACCATGAATTCTGTTTAAATTTGTGGCTGTAGTTTTGGTCTGGAAGCGAGGAAAGTGCATTCTAAGTAGCACTGTGGTTTCCATAAAACACCTTGAGTGGTAGTTGAGAATTACCCCTGGCAGAACTGTGTCAGCTCCGACTTCTGCTGCTCAGAGAGGAGCCCCAGTCTTTGCAGACCTTTACTCAGTGTATAAAATTCACATTCCAGGTTAAGGAAAGAGTAGAAAAGCTGTTAAATTTATGAATGATTTAGGCAGAGAGATGTGTACCTTTGCTCATCTCTGTGTATCATTTCCTTTTCTGGGCCTGGTCATCCTGCAGGGTAAAAACTGGGAGTCTCCATAGTCTGAAAGTACAAGAGTGGTGTTTAGACTCTGGGCAAGACAATGGTTTTGCCAGTTGGTACCTCTGTCACCAAAGCAGGGAGTTGTGTACCCAGAATGATTAACATTGCAGGAGAGTCATGTACTCTGCCCCACCTCACTCCTGGCCTTGAGTGCTGGGATGGCTTTAATTGAGCATCTGACTCTTTTTTCCACACTAGTTTTTGAAGGAGTGAGATACTTTTCACTTTTTACTCATGTAAAAGTAACTGATAAATGAGATCTCCATTTAAGGTTCTTAGGACAAGAAGTGCATACAAGTATGTTTTTCTTTTCCACATCTTTTGCCTTTAGCTACAGGAGTCTGTTCTGCTAAATAGTGTGAGTTGATTTGTCAATTCATATAGCACTGTTGGAGTCAGTGACTAATTTCCAGTTGGTACTGCAGGTAAATCCATTGTTGGAAAGATCAGCTCCATTTCCAGGTTGTGGACAGGGTTTGGAGATGGGCAGTGTGGGGTTCTCTGCTTGCTGCAAGCAGCCCCACAAGCCTGGGGTTGCAGTCTGTGGATGGTAATGATGTGAGAAGGGAATATTGCAGTATTAAATTGCAATAACAGCATTCCAGTATTAATGGAGAAGGATAAAAAAACAAGATTGTTACCTTTGGTGACCCCTAATGACACTGGGTTGCCATCTCCAGCCTGAGCAGATGTTTGGTAGCCTTTGCTGTAAGTTGTGTTCCCCAATGTGTGTTTAATTCAAATAGTAAACAAAAATAGGATGGCATTGTGTTTTTGTGGGAGAGGAGTAATAATCTGCTTAGAAGTCAGAGAGGTTGCTTGTAGAGAAAGCATCCGTGTGACTTGCTGCAGAGCAAATCACCAAGAGCAGGGGTAGGGCAAACAGGCTCAGCATTTCCAGAAGCCCAGCTACACTGTGCAGAGCAGCACAAGAGGGTATTTAGAGCATGAATAGCTCTTTATTAGCTGGTATGTGTTTCACTTTGTCATTTTTCAGAATTGCTACAATCCCGGAGTCTGAAAACCTTGGATCTGTGTTTTCATTGGCAAACTGATAGGGAAGGAAGCCAAAATATTTGTTACAGCCAAAATAAATCCAATGGCCAAGAAAAACTAGTTTAGCCCTGTGATCCTGGTGCTTTCTCTGAAATGTACTGGGTCATGGGAAGCTCGTTTGGCCTCCCTTAATGAGTCTGCTCAAGCAGAGCTCTGGCAGACAGCAGGATTGCTTTCTTAGGGTTAAGGAAGGGAATCTTTGCCAGAGGGACAGAGGACAGCTCTTACACTAAGCAAGTGCCCAGGGGGTGGATCAAAGGTAAGAAGCTGCCTTTTTGCAGGGTCTGAGCCGTAATGCAGTGACAGAGCAGGATCTGTGTGAGCTGGGGAGTGAGCCCCCAGCCCACCCCTTTGGCTGGCTGAGCTGGGGGCTCAGGGCCTCGGTGGAAGGCGGCACCTCAGAGCCCACAGTGCCTCCCCTCTCGCCCCAAAGATGGTCCCAGGTGGAGGATGTTAATTCTCATGGATCCTTTGCATTTGTTCAGAAGGCTTTTGTCCACTTCAGTGCCCCTCTGGCTATGAACATACTTATTCCTACCTTTCTTTTTTGTCTCCTTAGCCCTAATTTTCTCTAATGAGATGTAGAGTTCATTTCCTTTATATCTCTTATTGGAATGCAGCAACAGGGCTGTTGATCCAAAAAAAGAGCCTTTTGTAATTTTTTCTTTTAATTTGATTAATCCTCTGTCCCTGTTTTCATCACCTGAAGTGTGCAGCTTTCTATGCAGAATTAACAGTGTGGATACAGTAATTAGTGCTGGTCACAAGTTTTCTCAGGAAATGGTTTTGGGTCTGCAGACACACCTTTGTCAAAATCATTTTTTGCAGAAGCATGGCTGTTCCAGCTGTGTTCTAACAATGGTGAGGGCACTGTGCTAAAATTCTCCTTGCAGCCACCTCCTGTGGGTGCAGTGGTTATTGTTGGGGGATACATTTTGCTATTTTATTAATCTCCCCCCATATTTGATGATTTGGTGGTGATATATTCCCATCCCACATCTGTTTCCATAACCTCTTAATGTGTTTGCATGCACAATCCTCATAGGGTTATGACTGCTTCTTGTTTACTCAAGCCTTTGTTCTCCCTGAGGATTGTTTAACAAGCCCTGGAAGCAGCTGGATTTGGAGCTTGCATGAAGGATGCTAAAGGGATAACAGCCCACTTTGGGCTGGGGACTCAGACTCTGCTTCTGCTCAGCTCTCAGACTCCCCCAGCAGCACTGTGCCCTTCAGACCACAGCCATCACTGAAGGAGAGTTCTCAAGTAGCTTACATTTAGGAGCTACATCTGTTGGGAGGCAAAAGAGA